CAAACTACCTGGCCGCTGCGCGCGCGCATGCGCGGGCAATCGCGGCCGCAGGGATGCACCAGCCAGCGCCAAGCGCTCATCGCAATCGCCGCCGCATGAGGTTTGCAAACCAAATTGTGGGTGGGTGGGTGGGATGTTTGCGCGAGCAGTGGGGTGGACAACTCACTGCGAGCAGAAATTAATTCTCCTTTCTAAAAACAGAATAGGACCTACCCCCCCCGGCGTTATCAATCCCCCTTTCGGGTATGTAAATCATATATGGTTCTGACCACATGTTTATCCGAAGTATGAATTTGCACTATCCCAGGGGGGCCGGTATCCCCCCCCCCTTTGAGGTTCCCTTGTGAAAACACTATGCGGTGACATATTTTTCTAACATAGCACTTTTTCGCGGATCCCTTAGAAACAACGGGACGAAGTGCACACGCGCGCGTCGTCGCGCGCGTATGTTGAAATCCTTCCAAAACACTTGGTGCCGGAAAGATTTCGTAATCGAGCTTCCAAACAAAAACCATACAACAACACATGGTTTCGAAACACTGATTCGCTAAAAAAACTTCCGCGCGAGCTCTTGCGAAATCTTGAGACAACCATAGGTTTTTCAATATTTTCACAAAATGCTATTACACGGGCTTCGCGCACGCATGTCGAAATCTGTCGAACGCCCTTGCGCGTGTGCCGTCACGAGAACCCTCTGCAAAAAATGAAGCGAAGTGCAGACGCGCGCGTCGTCGCGCGCGTATGCCGAAAATCTTCAAAATCCATCGGTTTCGGAAGGATTTCAAAATCGTGCGTCCAAAAAGCCCGCAAAAACCCAAGGTTTCGCAACACGGATTTTCACCAAAAGCGTGCGCGCGCGCTCTTGCGTCGTCGTCGTCGTCGTCGTCGTCCTCCCTCCTCCCGCGTCGTCGTCGTCGTCGTCGTCGCCTACGTCGTCCTCTGTCGTTCCTCGTGTTCGTCGTCGACGTCCTCTTTGGCGTTGTGGTCGTTTCCGTCGTCGTTGTCGTCGTTGTCGCCGTCGTCGTCCTCCCTCCTCCCTCGTCGTCGTCTTCGTTGGCGACGCCGTCGTCGTCTTCGTCGTCGTCGTCAGCGTCGGCGTCGTCGTCGTCTTCGTCGTCGCCGACGTCGGCGTCGTCGTCGTCGCCGCCGTCCTCGTCGTCGTCGTCGTCGCCGTCGTCATCGTGATCGTCGTCGGCGTCGTTGACGTCGTCGTCGTCGGTTTTGTCGTTGTCGTCGTCGTCGGCGTCGTCATCGTCGTCGTGGGTTTTGCAAACCAAATTGCGGGTGGGTGGGTGGGATGTTTGCAAGAGCGCGGGATGTGTCAACTCGTTTGTTAAAAACAATTCTCCTTTCTAAAAAGAAAATAGACTCCACCCCCCCCCGGACTTAACGCTTCCCCCTGGGATAATATAATTTCATACATATGCTGCACACTCGTCCATCCTAAATACGAGATCATATCATCCCAGCCAAACCAATATCCCCCCCCTGAGGTTCCCTTGTAGAAAACACCATGCGGTGACATTTTTTGTTCTAACATAGCACTTTTTTCACGAATCCCTTGCAACAAACTGGGACAAAATGCACACGCGCGCGTCGTCGCGCGCGCATGCCGAAAACCTTCCAAAACCTACGGTGCCGGAAGGATTTCGCAATCGAGTTTCCAAAAAACATACAAAACACACATGGTTTCGCAACACAGAGTTGCTAAAAAAGCTTCCGCGAAAGCTCTTGCGAAATCTTAAGAAAACCATGGGTTTTTTCAAGATTTTCACAAAATGCTACCAAACGTGTTTCGCGCGCGCGCATGTCGAAATCTGTCGAGCGCCCTTGCGCGTGTGCCGTCGCGAGAATCCTCTGCAAAAAATCGGACGAAGTGCAGACGCGCGCGTCGTCGCGCGCGTACGCCGAAACCCTTCAAAACCCATCGGTTTCGGAAGGATTTCGAAACCGTGCGTCCCAGAAACCTACAAAAACACAAGGTTTCGCAACACGGATTTTCAACAAAAGCGTGCGCGCGCGCTCTTGCGTCGTCGTCGTCGTCGCCGTCCTCCCTCCTCCCGCGTCGTCGTCGTCGTCGTCGCCGGCGTCGTCCTCTGTCTTTCCTTGTGTTCGTCGTCGTCCTCTTTGGCGTCGTGGTCGTTTCCGTCGTCGTTGTCGCCGTGGTCGTCCTTCCTCCTCCTCCCTCGTCGTCGTCGTCGTCCGTCGTCGGCGTCTCGTCGGCGTCCCTCCTATTTCGTCGCCGTCGTCGGCGTCGTCGTCGTTGTCGTCGTCGTCGTCGTTGTCTTCCCTCCTCCCTCGTCGTTGCCGTCGTCGGCGTCGCCGTCCTTCCTCCTTCTTCGTCGTTCGCGTCGTCGCCGTCCTCCCTCCTCCCTCGTCGTTGTCGTCGTTGTCGCCGTCGTCGTCCTCCCTCCTTCCTCGTTGTCTTCGTTGGCGACGTCGTCGTCGTCGTCGTCGTCGTCGTCAGCGTCGGCGTCGTTGTCGTCTTCGTCGTCGTCGACGCCGGCGTCGTCGTCGTCGTCGCCGCCGTCGTCGTCGTCGTCGTCGTCGTCGTCGGCGTCGTTGACGTCGTCATCGTCGTCGGTGTCGTCGTTGTCGTCGTCGTCGTCGGCGTCGTCATCGTCGTCGTCGTTGTCATCGTCGTCGTCGTCGGCGTCGGTGTCGTCGTCGTCGTCGTCGGTGTCGTCGTCGTCGTCGTCGTCGGTGTCGGCGTCGTCAAAGTCGTTGGAGAGGTCGTCGGTGTCGTCGTAGTCGTTGTCGGCGGCGTCGTCATCGTCGTTGTCGCTGTCGTCGTCGGCGTCGTTGTTGTTGCCAAGTGCCATGTGGTACCCACCGTCACGGTCTTAAGAGATTTTGCAAACCAAGTTGCGGGTGGGTGGGTCGGATGTTTGCGCGAGCAGTGGAGTGGACAACTTACTGCGAACAGAAATTAATTGCACCACATAGATTCTCCTTTCTAACAGCAGAATAGAATCTACCCCCCCCGGCGTTATCGACACCCCTTTCGGGTATGTAAATCACATACGATGCTGACCACATGTCCATCCTAAATATGAATTGACACTATGCCAGGCCAGCCGCGTTCCCCCCCCCTGAGGTTCCCTTTTTTTTTAAAAAAAAAAAAAAAAAAAAAAAAAAAAAAAACTATGCGGTGACATGTTTTGTTCTAACATAGCACTTTTTCGCGAATCCCTTGCAAAAAACTGGGAAGAAATGCACACGCGCGCGTCGTCGCGCGCGCATGCCGAAATCCTTCAAAAACCTCTGGTGCCGGAAAGATTTCGCAATCGGGTTTCCAAAAGACATACAAAAACACCGGGTTTCGCAACACTGATTTACTAAAAAAGCTTACGCGCGAGCTCTTGCGAAATCTTAAGAAAACCATGGGTTTTTTCAAGATTTTCACAAAATGCTAATGCACGGGCTTCGCGCGCGCATGTCGAAATCTGTCGAACGCCCTTGCGCGTGTGCCGTCGCGAGAATCCTCTGCAACAAATGAGGCGAAGTGCAGACGCGCGCGTCGTCGCGCGCGTATGCCGAAATCCTTAAAAAACCTTAGGCTTCGGAAGGATATCAAAATCGTGTCAAAAAAACATACAAAAACCCAAGGTTTCGCAACCTCCCTCCTCCCTCGTCGTCGTCGTCGTCGTCGTCGTCGTCGCCGTCGTCGTTTTCTGTCTTTCCTCGTCGTCGTCGTCGTCGTCTTGGCGTCGTCGTCGCTTCCGTCGTCGTTGTCGCCGTGGTCATCCTTCCTCCCTCGTCGTCTTCGTCGGTGTTTCGTCGTTGTCCCTCCTATTTCGTCGCCGTCGTCGTCGTCGTCGTCGTCGTCGTCTTCACTCCTCCCTCGTCGTTGTCCTCCTCCCTCGTCGTCGTCGGCGGTCGTCGGCGTCTCGTCGTCGTCCCTCCTATTTCGTCGCCGTCGTCGTCGCCTTCGTCGTCGTCGTCGTCTTCCCTCATCCCTCGTCGTTGTCGTCGTCGGCGTCGCCGTCCTTCCTCCTTCTTCGTCGTTCGCGTCGTCGCCGTCTTCCCTCCTCCATCGTCGTTGTCGTCGTTGTCGCCGTCGTCGTCCTCCCTCCTCCCTCGTCTTCGTTGGCGACGTCGTCGTCGTCGTCGTCGGCGTCGGCCTCGTCGTCGTCGTCGTCGTCGACGTCGGCGGTGTCGTCGCAGTCGGTGTCGGCGGCGACGTCGTCGTCGTTGTCGCTGTCGTCGTCGGCGTCGGTGTCGTGGTCAAGTGCCATGTGGTACCTACCGTCACGGTCTTGTCTTAAGAGGTTTTGCGACCAAGTTGCGGGTGGGAGGGTGGGATGTTTGCACGAGCAGTAGAGAGGACAGCTTCAAGACGGTCAAAGATTAATTGCACCACATAGATGGCTCCACATGTATTACTCACTGGATCCACATACATTGTACAACACACATTGCTAGAAACGCACTGAGTGGGGTCCACGCTTGCTAGTCTATGTCGTTTGCCTTCTCCTGTTTCGAAAGAAGGGGGAAAGAAGGAGAATTCGCTGGCCCAACGGGCCAGAGGCGTGCTCAGATCTCCGGTAAGTGGTTAACAATATTCTACTTCGCGCGCGGGGCGGCCCCTGGGGGTCTCTGGGCGAAAAGTACCCTGGCAAGGTCCCGGCAAGGTCCCGGCAAGTCCGGGTCAGAGATGCCAGACCAGGCAATTCTTCGACACCCCTCACGAGGATCGTGGCCTCCGAGGGGGGAGCCGCAATCGACGACCCCCCCCTCCCGCCCCAAGAGGCCCCCAAGAGACCCCCAAGAGGCCCTGGGGGCCCCCAAGACGCCGCCAAGGAGCCCCAAGAGACTCCCAAGAGGTCCCCAAGAGGCCCCCAAGAGGCCCTAAAGAGGGCTCCAGGGCCAGCGGAATGAGCGAAGCGATTAATAGCAGATGGGGCAGGAGGAACATTATGTGACAGAGCAGGAGGAGCAAGCGCGGGAGAGGAAGGGGGGACGGGGAGACGAGGGAGGAATTGACACAAACTAGATACCTTGATCATGATGTGGAACGGGAACTTCTTCAGCGTCATCGCCTCAGGTGGCTTCGCATGAACGTTGCCAGGCAGCATGTCGATGATGTACCGTAATTTGCCGACTGACCGTCTGATACCAGTGCTGGGGTCGTCGATCATGAGCATTCGTGACTCCATTGGTGAGCGCGCCGGGGGTCGCATGGCGGGGCGGATGGTTAGCTGACTGTTCCAGGAGGCGCGGAGGCTTGTGGCATCATCAGGATTGCGCCAGGGCCACCGCTTCGAGACCGCTTTCCGCATATCAGACTTGGTCATCCACCTCTGCTCGAGTGGGGGCCTGGACGTCTGTATCTCGCTCGTTGGCATGACCTCGGAAGCGATGCCCGCCTTCGTGGTGCCCCGAACAAGGTCAACCTCTGCCAGCGCCAGCCAGCGGTCCTCGACGTCGATGCTGGTCTGACCCAGGACTCTCTCTCGACCGAACACGCCCATGTCTCGCACCTCGAGCCTCAGCAGGGAGGGCCCGGGCAGAGTCAGCGTCATGGTGCACCACTGGTAGAAATCGAGGGAGCCGACACCCTCTGAGGAGTGGATCATCTCCGCCCCGATGTTTGGAAGCCTCTGCTCCTGACCATCCGTCGAAACCACCACGAAGGGATGCTGGACCCTCCGCTGCCCCAGCAGGCCAGCGTTGAAGTTATCGAGGCCCTCTACACTGAGCACGTAGATGCTCAGGCGCACCGTCTGGCGCACCCAGAGGTTCTCGATCGGGCAGAAGGCTGTGACCTTCGGCTTTGCTATCTGCTCTCCGCCCTCGTCGCCGGCGCCTGCCGGGAACGTCGCCAGCGCGTCCTCGCTGACGGCAGCGTCCCAGGATGACATCCTCGGCGAAGGCGCGTCGCGCCTCCTCATGCGGATGTGGCCCTTGAGGATCGCGGCATCACCCTGGAGACCCGTGTCAAGCAGTGGCAGCGTCTTGTCCACGTTCAGAAGCCTCCTTGGAGGCCTCCCGCATGTGGCCAGAGCAGATGGCGTCGGAGGGTCGCGCTGCATATCGCCGCATCACCAATGCATCGGCGACGGTGGAATGGAGAAAATCGGGCTTCAAGTCGCGCCGAATTGCCGCTGTATCGGTGATGCGGCGCGACCCTCCGACCCCGCCTGCTCCGGCCCCATTCGGCCTATTCCGTGAACCTCGAATCCCAAAAAGCTGTCATCGCTTGAGGCTGTTTTTCTCGTCACTCCCGCAGGCTCCCGCTGGCGAAGCTGCCTCTGGCCTGCTTCCGCCACCCTCCCCGCCAAGGGCGAGACGCGCCGAGGGCGAGGCACGTTCTGGAACGCCCAATGTGTAGGTGGCGACATCCGAACCCTGCCCCCAGCAACCATCGATTCCCCCGAGTCGAAAGGGGGCCCGGGGTAGCGTGCGGATTAAACCACGTGTTCGGCGAATTCCGAACCCTACCCCCGCAGTCCATCGAATTGCCTGGAGCGTTGATCGGCGAGGGCAGGGTGCAGATTTCGCTGTCGAGCTTGGGAGGCCTGGGCTCCTGAGCGCGGTGCTCTTCACCTGTCGGTGCCAACTCATGGGAGCCTCCCATGCCATTGTGCTGGCTCTTGCGGATCGACGCTGGCCGACGCTCTTCGACGTTCATCGACGCTGAGTCGACGCTATATCGGCGCTTTGCCATCGATTGCGAAGACACACAGGAGGTTCCCATGATTTGCTACCGAACTTCGCCTTTCGGCGGCGAGCGAGGGGGGGGGGGACTGAGAAGGAGAAGGCCTTCTCAGAAGGCGGCGGGGCTTCTCAGAAGCCCTCGCGCCTTCTGACAGGTTGTTGGTGTCGTCGCAGAAGGCTCAGGGAACTTCTCAGAAGGCCAGGAGACTCCTGAGCCTTCTGAGAAGGCCCGCCCCTTCTCGAACGCCTGGTGGTTTTTCGATCAGAACTCGGCCCTCCAGCGGCCGTTCGGGGAGATCTGGACATCCCCGGAACGCTCTCGGCGAGGCCCAACGGCTGGAACGCCTCCCGAGGCCAGAAGACCGCCGAGAACCGACGACAACGCCAAGAAACCCGGATCCTCCAACCCGAAACTCCCGAAACTTCCCCCCTGGGGCTCGCCGCCGAACCTTGTCGACGTCCTCCTCCAGGGTGGGAGCGCGCCTCACGTCGTGCAGGGACAGCTCCTCACGCCCGGGGCCGCGGAGGGCCGAGCCGAGCACTGAAGAAGGGCCCAGGGAGGCCCACACAGATCGACGCAAATCCCAGATCTTCCTCCTCTTCCTCCTTCTCCTCCCCCTCCTCATCCTCCTCCTCCTCCTCCTCCTCCTCCTCCTCCTCCTCCTCCTCCTCCTCCTCCTCCCCACACTTCTCCGCGTGCCCTGGACTTGCTCGTCCCCCTCCGCTTCCGATCCTTCCTCGCACTGGCACGGAAATCCCCGCGGCTCTCTGTGCCTGCGCCTCCCTGCCCCTCCTGCAGGCTGCGGCCCCCCGAGGCGTCGACATCCGGCGGCCCGACCCTGCTCGAGCCCCAGGGGCCGGGCACTCTGCGCACGCTCCGTCCCGAGCCGTTCCTGGACGGCCCCGCGGGAAGCTCGGTGGCAACTCACGCGGGCCGCCCATGCCATCTTGCTGGCTCTCGCGAATCGAGGCTGGCCGACGCTAATCGACGCTATTCGATGCTAATCGACGCTCGCCGAAGCCAGTCGACGCTAACCGCTGCGGAAATCCGCCGACCCTGTCGGCGTGTGTGAGGGGCTTGTCCGTTCAAGTCGTCATCTCTGCCATTCGTTGGTCGTCGTCTCTGTCGTCCCCGCTCCCTGCCTCCCCCCCTTCCCTGGGCTCGTCGAAGCTCCCCCCTTTCCCAGGGACCTCCTCAGCGCGCCAGCCACTCATGGCTTTCCCATATGTTTTTGAAAGATTTGGGCGGTCTTGCCTCTTCCGCTTCCCGACGCGCCAATGAAGACGGCCCAAGAGGCCCCCAAGATCGCCCCGAGACGGCCCAAGAGGCCCCAAAGAGGGTCGCCTAACGGCCGAAGAGGGCCCCAAGACGGCCCAAGACGCCTCCAAGACGGCCCAAGAGGCCCCCAAGACGGCTCCAGGAGAGTGCCCAGACGGGGGACCTGAACGGACATTTTGAGCTCTCAGCCCCAAGAGGCCCCCAAGAGGTCCCGACGAAGCCCCAAGAGGCCCCAAGAGGCTCCCAAGGGGCCCCCAAACTGCCCCAAGACAGCTCAGGAGAGCCCCCCATTCCCCAGGAGGCCTCCAAGAGTGCCTCGAGACGGCGCAAGAGGAGCCCTGGACGGCCCAAGACGGCCTCAAGAGAGCCCCAGGCTGTCCCAAGAAAGCCTCTGGCCTCCTCTCCTCCTCCTCCTCCTCCTCCTCCTCCTCCTCCTCCTCCTCCTCCTCCTCCTCTTCCTCCTCCTCCTCTGCTCCCCCTCCTCCTGCTCTCCTCTGCCTCCTTCTCCTCCTCTTGCTTTTCCTCCACATCCTCCTCCCCCCGCCTCCTTCCTCATCCACCTCCTCCACCCTTCCTCCACTTCCCACTCATCCTCCTCCCCCTGCCGCCCCCCCCTCGTCTTCATCTTCGTCGTTCTCACGGTCGGCGGCACAGGCCGTAAGGCCTTCGCAATCGGCACTTCCCCATCGACTACCAGACGCCAGCGCACGCTAATGCACGCAAAAACGGAACTCCGAGGACACACAAGGCTCCCATGATTTGCTACCGAAGGAAAGGCCTCCAGGCTCTGAGAACTGCGCAGGATCTCTGGCTCTCCTCGCTCCAGCCTTCAAGGAAATTCCCCAAGTCACCCAACTTCGCACATCGCGCCCCGCGCCGCCGCTCCGGGGGAAGGCCGCCTCTCCAGCCCAAGCCGTGACGCGTGACGCGCGATGGACTTCGCGCTCCTCGGGGTGATCTGGAACCTCGAGCTCGAACGACTCAACTCTCCAATGATGGTGTCTGGGGCCAGGCTGCGGCCCCATCCGACCAGACCTGGGTTGGCGGCGCGCACAAGGAGAACGAAAGGGTCGGCTCACTAATCAGACCCGACTGCATGTCCACTCGTGGCAGAGGCAAAGACGGCGAATGATTCCACCATCCTGGGGCCCAGGATGGCCGTGGTAAGGCATGGTCGTGGTGTATCGATTCCTTCTGCGGAGAGGAGGTGGAGGAAGAGGAGGAGGAAGAGGAGGATACTGGCGGCTCACGTAGCCTCAAGGGTGGCTGGCTTATTGAAGGCCAAGCGGAAGGCCTACCGACCCAGGAGAAGATTGCACTTCGCGAGCAACAGATATGCATGGCAGAAGGCCTGCCCACAAAATGACGCTGAGAGAAGGCTCAATTACCCACCAAGTGGCGCGGAGAGGAGGGGGAGGAGAAGGAGGAGGAGGAGGACCAGTGTAAACCCAAGAGTCACCAACAATGTTGGAATAAACCCTCCCTTCAAGCTCCCTCTTCATAGGCCCCTAGAACGGTTCATATTTCCACTAAGGGAACTGCCTCGTTGGAAGACAACCGTTTGAAGACCCTGAAGCATGCCAAAACATTGTTCTCGGGATTTCAACGCTACGGATCAACCTGAGTGTTGCGTCTTGAAGATCCTGAATCGCGCCAGAACGCCATTCCTGGGACTTCCACACCGCGGACCAACGTAATTGTTGCACCCTCATAATCCTGAGTCCATCCAACACACCATTTCTGCTACGCTGACCATGGGAATCCGTGAAAACTCCTGCAGATTCTGAAACCGAGTGCGCGCGGCGCTAAAGCGAGAGACACATGTTGAAAAAGAACCGCCCTCAATCCGTGAAACGCTTGCAAATCTTAGGATCGAATGTGCGCGACGCTGAGGCCACAACCACATTTTGAAAACGGGCCGCCCTCGACACGTGAAACTCTTGCAAATGTTTAGAAGGAATGTGCGCGGCGCTGAAGCGAGAACCACATTTTGAAAACGGGCCGCCCTTAATATGTGAAGCTGTTGCCAATGCTTTAGCTTCAGGGTCATAAGCGAAGAAGAAGTCTCAAGCGAAATGCCCAGCCCGCCCTGAAAACTGGCCTCGGGGTGCGACATGGAAAACTTACTTCAAAAGGAATGGAGGAGGCGTAGGAGGAGGAGGAGGAGGAGGAGGAGGAGGAGGAGAGAGAGGAGCAAGAGGAGCAAGAGAAGCAAGAGGAGGAGGAGGAGGAGGAGTAGGAAGAGGATCAGTTTAAACCAGCATAAACCCTCCCCCAAAGTTCCCTCTTCATAAGCCTTTCTATGAAGTGGTCACTGAGGGAGGTGCCTCGTTGAGGCAACCGTCTGAAAACCCTGAATCGTGTTAAACACCACTCCTGCGACTGCAACGCCGCGAATCAACGTGACTGCTGCGTCCTGATGATCCTGCATCGTGGCAGAACATCATTCATGGGACTTCAACACCACGAATGAACGTGACTATTGCGCCCTGACAGTCGTACACTGTGCCAACACATCACTTCTGGGACGCAAGCCATGAGAAACCTTGAAACTAAAACCGATGTGCGCAGCGCTAAAGCAAGAACCACATTCTGAAAAGGAGCCGTCCTCCATCCGTGAGGCTCTTGCAAACCTTCTTATGTAAAGGACGAGTGTGCACAATGCCATGGCGAGAACCACATTTTGAAAAGGGCCCGCCCTCCATCTGCGAAACCGTTGCAAACTTTTACAACGGATGTGCGCGGCGCTAAGGCGATGTCCACATTTTGAACAGTATTGATGATGGGAGTGCGGGCGCAGTATTGATCTAGCAGTGATACAAGTGTGTCGATATCTTGAATGCCCCCCGTGTCCACTGCTATTCAAGGGTCAAGCTGCTCCGCAAAGGGGCGAGGACCTGGCTCGATGGGCCCAGACCTCGGTCACCAGCCGCATCCCTCCTGCTTCCATCTGGGCACGGCCGCGGGCGAACCCCCACTCGGACCTGGACTCCGAGAGCCCCGTCGCCGGCGACGGCGAGGCCCCAGTGGGGGGCGAGGATGATTTCATACCCATGGGCGAAGGTGAGATGGACGCGCGGCGGTGTTGACTGCCTCGGGAGACGTGGTGCTGCTGCCCCACGTGAAGAGCGCGCCCCCCGAGGCCCGCCGGGGCCCCGTGCCCCCGCCGCCAGTTGCCTCGTCCGCTCCCGCACTGAAGGCGCCCCCAAGGGCGCGGAGGCACGTGCCCGTCGAGATCCGGGGCCACGTGGGCGTGGGCGAGGATGCGGAGATCTGGGACACGTCCGTAAGGAGGGTCGCGCCTCGGAGGGGGCAGGCCGGAGCGGGGCGCCACGAGCCGGCCCCCGCGCGGCAGATGCAGACGGTGGTCCGGTGAATTGCCAGGCCCCCGGCCCCTCCGCGGCGGTAGTGACCGACGCGGCCACTGGGGCGGACGGAGCCAGCCAGGCCAAGACGCCGCCCATGCCGACGCCCATGCGGCAGAGCACGCGGCTGCCTCCCCCGCCGCTGGTGGCGCCTCCGCCGGCAGGGACGACCGCCATCCGTTGGCGCGCCCCTGGCGCGAACGTCGGGCCCTGGCTGGCCGCGCCCGGGGTGACAATCGCCAAGTGCCCACCCCCGCCCTTGCCAGGGGGCTTGGCAGTGGACCCAATGCCCGAGGAGGCCGAGATGGACGTCGACGGGCCAACGGCGGGCCCCGCGCTCGAGGAGGCCTTGGGCCGGCCGCTGAACGGTCACCTCCCCCTCGACGTGGTCAACCTGCCCGTGGATGACGACGGCTCCGACTCCACGAACTTGTCGGACTACGCTGTGGATTCCCCCGACCCCGACGCGCCTGTCCATATGCAAGCCGAGCCGAGCGTCCAGGCGCTGTTGCGCGTGCTGAGCGCTCCGAGTGATGCCTGAGGTGCTGGAACTGACGATCTTCCACCCTAACGGGCACACTCGCCCGCTGGATCCCTGGGCTCACGTCCTCGCTGGCCAGTGGGCGCTTGCGAGGGCCAGGATGGACTCGCCGCCAGCGCTACCAATCATCAGCGACGGCGGGGAGGCGGAGGAGGCGACCAGGGACCAGGGACCAGGACGCAGATGGAGAAACCGGCGGCGATGGGCACGAGGGCGACGGCTCGGGCCGGCGCGACCTCGCGGAGGAGAACGAGGCAAGCTCGACCAGAGTGCGAGACCTGACCGCCGGCGGCGGCGGCCGCGAGGAGGAGCAGGGGACCG